TCGGCCAAGTGTGCAGGTGTTGCTGCTATGGCAACGAGCAGGAAGGCAACTGTGCAAACCATCTTGTCCATCAAATCCACGTCAGATTCTCCCGACAGGCTGGCAGCCCAATTCTTCCAAACACCCGGCGCGCATAAGAAGACAGCAGACAGCACAACCAGCAGGCCCCGCCACCATGGATCCTGACCATCCTCAGCACTCCCATCAAACTTGATGGAAACTGTCCACCTCATAACGTGCCAAACTAGCACAACTACTAAAGACTTCAGCACATAGCGTTTTGAAAAAGTCCCAAAGGCTTTAAGCTCCGGGTCTTCCACTCCAACCTCCCAGGTGCCCGCCACTTCGTCATCAGGCTCCAAAACTACTTCGCCCGATATCTCCATCAGTACATGCCCTTGCTCGTGTACGAGCCGCACGTGCCTCATCTGCCCGTTAAGGGTGTAGATGTGCAAAGTGTGGTTGGGCGGAACAACAATACAATCTGCACCTGTCTTGGTCCAGTAGGTTTTAAATGATTGACCCAGCTTGCGACCCAAGGGTGAGGCCATACCAGCTTCGCTGGAATTGAAAGGTTGCCAGGCAAAAATAACGTTTGGCTCTTCGCCACGGATCTTCACTTGGCCCTCGCTGACCAGAAAATGCGCCAAGCGCCCTCCGGCCAGCAAGCGTCTTCGAGCCAAGAGTTCATCGGACGGACCCCCGTCGCCAACAATGATGAGACAATGGTCCTTGTAGTTGAGATTCAGCTCGCATGACTCCATCTGGCTTACTTATGCCAGTACAAGTACGTAAAAGCCATTGAAAAAATATTCAATTCACCACTTTATGGTGCTTGAGCCGCGGAATAGCTGGTTGGTCAGAGCAAGCTGCACCTCATCATGTTCCACAGCAAGACTCAGACAATCTCACGACGCATGCAACCTGTCCGAGGCAGATTGGAACTCTTATCCACACGGTCTGCCTCAGCATTCACATCTGAGGGTGGCATTTCTGGTCCCCGCTGGGCATCCGGCACCTAGCGCAAGGAAGGTGGGCCCGAAACAAAAGATTTCTCGTCAAAACGAAGATTGAATTTGCTCTTGCGCCGCTAAATATTCCTAAAGTCCCTTCGGTCCACTTTTCAGAAATCGCCCATTCTTTGGGTGAAGCTCGCGTGCCTCCGCCGACGAGCTGCTCTAGCCGTGTCCCTATGCGTCAACCACATGGTAGTCAAACATCAGTCGCTGCCCACACGAACCACATAGTTCTTTTGGGCATATAAGTTCACAAGCCCCCGCCCAACCACATCCCAGCTAGCCGCTAGCCCACGACAATTGGTACCAAGGTGCGACAAATCACTTACAGGCATCTGCGGGGTCATCTGGAGGATCTGGCGGCATTTGCCCCGTCGGCGCTGCGGCTAAATCCGGCCAGATCCTGAAAGCGCACTGGTTGCCCCATCAAGAATCAGCAAAGTCTGATCCGCAAGTGAGCTAAGCAGCTAAGAGTCTTGACAGGTGTTTGGATGTTTTAGAGTTGGAGGTGCAGACGAGGGCCATGCTTAGAGCGAGATGTAAAGTAGCGATTTGAACTGTGTTCACTGTCATGTCGTCTTACAACCCCATGCCAGTAAGCCTCACATGATGACAAAGATTCCTGTCACTCCTATCCCATCCACTTGAGCAAAGCAGGCATGTGAATTTACAATGATGACATCAAATATCACAAGCACCTGCAGAAACTGCACTCACATGTGGGCGGAATATAATCCGACACGGCTTTCCTTTGTTTCAGGAGCTGATCATTAAGTAAGTAAGAGATGCCGGCTCTCGGAAGCCCTAGGCTCCTTCAAATGAGCCACGCGAAAAAAATTCGGCCAGAGGGGCTCACCGCCCCTTCTTCATGGAGGTCACCCTCCCACTGAGCTTCGATTCCAGGCTGTCAGCGATCTTCTGCCTGTCTGGGAAGCTTGCCACAACATGGCAAGCCCCTCCCAGTTTACAGTCTACAGTAGCTTCCCTGTTGTAGGGGGGGAAAGGTGTGGCTCGAACCTCGTTGATTGAAACGTTGGCTCAAATGTGAGACACATGGCTAAGCACGGAACTCATCCTCCTCCATGGTGAAAAAGCTCGCCATCGCACCGCTGGAGGACTCGGCATCCAGCGGAAGAAGTGTCTCATCTATGGACCACTATGGGAGATTTGAGTGGGACAAAGCAATTTGACTTTATAAGGGCGTGAACGTATTGGTTTCAGAGCATGTATATAAATGTAACAAACCCATAAATCAAAATTGTGCATTGGCACCCTTTGACTCTCTCTCCGGGGGTTCCGATTCTTTGCTTCCGGGGCTTGATTGAACGCTCTAGGGCATCTAGGAGTCTAGGGCCTGAACGCTGAAGCCAGGGCCACCACCCGTCTTTGCCGCTCTAGCTGCAAGGTATTCCTCAACCTGTAGCAAGGACACTAGTAGTAACAAGGTGCATCGCTACTAGGAACAAGTGCATCGCTACTAGTAGCAAAGGGCGTTGTGGCTACTTCGGGCTGATGTCACATGTTGCGTTGAGTCAACTGGGTCGAAGACACTGAAAGCATTGGCATCCTCCTCAAGATCCTTGGTGCAAGAGACGCACCACAGTAGGTATTATAGTTCAGGAAGTTCGAAGCATAAGAAAAAGCGGCTTTGACATACTCTTGGCAACAACTGCAGTTCTCTGTCCGTTTGCCTTTCTTGCCAACACTGACCAGGTGGATATCCCATTCACCGAGGCTGCAGCTCCCTGACTCAGCTTCGGCACTCCGGGAAGGCCGATGTTCAGCGAAAAGCCCCCTTTCTGCTCTTTGGCCTCTTTGGCCTGCTCCTGAATTTCAACTTTGGGCCTTTTGGAGGAGGCATGCATTCGTTCACACCTTCGTGGTGCCCAAATGGCCCAAGTAGGCGACACTCTCTCTGGGTCGTCCCTGTCCCGTCACCGTCGCTGTCCTTTTGCTCCGGCGTCTTCACCGGCTTGATCTTCAGCTTCGCAGCCTCGCCATCCACGGTCCATGCTCCCTTGTTCCTCAGGTCGTCAACACGCGGATATAGTTCCCACAAGTCAAGCAGGTAAAGTGCTTGGGGTCACGGAGGGGGGCCCTCCTTTTTTCTGTTTGCCGATCAGGACTCTAAGGAACGCTGAAAGCTACGCAACAAACTAAATCAACTTACTGGAGGCAGTCCAGGAATGCACAACCACAGGGGGGCAAGCTCTCGCAACCTGGGAGAGAGAACTGGAAGGAAAATTAGACGCATGATCGAATCCCAGTGGCTCAAGGGCAAAGCCGTTGCACTCACCAGAGGGCTTTGTGGAAATCCTGAGCATTTAGTCACATTCTGAGTGAACACGCTGCACTTTCTGAGAGATCCGAGACCTCTGGAGAGGCTCGAGAAAAATGGAGGCTGAGTGACATGGCACTGCGCAAGCCATTTACATCATCTGTCAGGCGGCTGAAACTGCTGGCAATCGTTGAACATCAAGTAAAGATCTTCGTTGCCCTCACAAGCATGTCATCATGCAGTCGCAGGATCCCAGTCGCACACCCAAACAAGTTGCACGGACCTTCTTGTACACTGCGCGGTCATTGATCTTGGTGTTGCGGAGCAGCATTAAGATAAAATCATGAAGCAATGATACACGGGGAATTGGCAAGACTATTCCTGAGAGCCTGACAAGGGTGAACATTTGTGTATATATATATGTGTGTGTACATCATACAGAACTGTTTATTGTGCAAACTCAACAATCGTCAAGCAAAAACAACGGAACAGTAGCGATAAGCCAAGCACCCGCCGGCTAGAATCAATGTCCCACAAGCCTGAATCGTCAGATCTTTCAACGTCTGCCGTTCACCCATCTCGTCAGCTTTGGAGATCACAGGCTGTATTTACCGCACCCCCACCATGCGGTTGCACAAATATGTGTATCGGAACATATGTGCCCCATGCCTATATACTTATATTTGATGTGTACCCATCTACCCAGGTCACGCGACTAGCGAAACTGCCGAGCGGCCATTGAGCTGCTTCCCCCGCTTGCCACCAATGCCACTGACCTGGTTTCGGAAGGGAAGAAACGCACCGATAAAATTGATGACATGGGCAAAAACGCGAAAACAGCGCCATTGTGACACTTCAGCTACGGCAAAGTGAAGAAGAAGTTGAGAGTTTTCTGTTCTCCAAGCTTGAGCAGAACCAGCAACATCAAGAACTCCCCTGGGGAAAAAAGGATTATGATGAGAATTTGATTGGTCACATCACATCCCTTCTCAAACCACTGGGTGCCATAGGTCTCGAGGCGAGGACCTACATGCCGTGGCATTTACAGTAACCCTGTAGTGGGGACGGCACCACACCCAGGGGAAACAATGTATTGGCGGATGCATTGCCTTATGCATCCGCATGCAAACCAACAACGGTCACCATGTTCATGGTGATTTGGAGCAACTCCCGACGCCCGGTTCTTTGGACGACTCAATCAGGCCTCAAGCTTCTGCGCCAGGCTCTTCTCTGCGGCCAGGGCAGGTGATGCCAAAGTGGTGGCCACCAAGGCACCCACGAGGCCTCCCAAGACTGGCTGCACTGGATGGGATGGACATTTTTGTTACGTTTGGCCTCTGCGAGATGGGCTCAGGTCCTGACAGCATTGACTTCTTCTCCATAAATAAGGTCCAAGAAAGCATTCAGGCAATATCTTGCAATATCTGCTTGGTTCATGTCTGTCCTTTTTCTTTTCTTTCTTTCTGTTCTTTCTCTTTCAAGACGGAGAGACCAGGAAAATTGCGGAGAAGGCGGTCCTCAGAGTTTGGCTGAGCACCTGGGCACAGAAAGCTTCTTGAGGCCTCGGCCAGACGCTCGGTGGGGCACAAGGTACCAGGTACAGTGTGCTCCGGTCTCACCGGTTCAAAGAAGACGGTTTCAAGGCAAAAGCCAAGGGCCCCGGGCAAAAGTGCCAAACACAGCCAGGAGCAAAACCTGGGTGACGGGCGTAAGGTTTGAGGCTGGGAGAAGCTCCCGCCGGCGAAGGAAACATTTGTTCTTCAAGATCTTCAAAAGACTTTGGACAATGCTACTTCAGACATAGCCCATGACATAAACTACTCTGGGCCACTAATAGAAGGTACACAAGCCGGGATTGGTTCTTTGGGCTTCTGGCCGAGCTGAAGCGATTGGCCTCGCACTTGCAGCAAAGGCACGTCACTCTCCCTGTTGCAACGCTTTTCTGGACGTCAACCATTTTCAGGCTGAAAATATTCCGCACACAGTTTGGTGGCTTCAGCAAACGCTCAGCGCTGGCAACATTTTCCACGCACTCCCTTCACTCAAAAGAAGGCGACGTTGGTCCATTTCGAGCGGCGACGCTCTGTTGCATGGGTGTCCTTGGATGTCACAAGTTTGAAACACCCAGAGGGGGCATGCAACATGTTTCTTGTTCACCCAACTGATTGAAAAGGTTCGGGAAAAAAAAAACAAAACACCCACATCTTCCTGCTTCCTTCTGATGCCACGCTGAGGCCAAGTCTAGCAATGCATGTGGAAGAAGCCAGGCCATACCAACGGGAACGGCTGAGATCGAAGACACCCTGAGGGTTGTGAGAGAAGAACAGCTGCATGAATGAGTTGCATGGGAGTAGCCAACTAGCTGGTGAAAATCAACACTATAGTGACTGACACCCACTTAGAACATCGTTTGGACATGACATGCTTTTTTCAATGGTTGCCCTGGTAAGGGATGTGCTAAGCGTAAGGCCAACATGTGTAACAATGCGATGACTGACACAAAGACTAAGAACATGGCTTCTATTCCTTGGCTTTTCTCAAACCCAACTTGATGTTCTAAGTAAAGGGACTTTGATTGTGGAAAGCTATTGTATTTTTGCTATATAAGTGGTTGTCCGTCACTATACACTTCAGTCGTGTCCAATCATGTGCTGGGCCACCAAAGTGCAGCAAGATTAGTGTCTCGCCAAGCAGCTTTGGAGCTGCAGCCGAGCCTGGGTGTTCACATGTATACGGCGTATACAGCACCATTCATGTCTGAACAGTTCAAAGCAGATTGGAAACAGCATCTGCTGCAGACCAAATGCTGTCTTTGGCCAAGATGGATGCTCCAAGTACGCGCATGGCCGCGCGATCCACACACTCTCTCACTTTGTCGCACAGCGGCTCATCAGCACCAGGACCTTAAGCCACGCTTCGCACATCAACGGCTGAGACCCTGTTGATGGACATATGCCCTGTTGATGCAGGACATCTCGCACCTCTAAACCATAGGTTTCGGGCCAACGGGTTGCCCAGCCACCACACAAAATGCTTCCAAGCGGCACTTGGCGGCCTCCAACTTGTAGACCTGCATGCCACAAACTAGGCCAGAAGTTTGTAGCTTTCAGGGTTGGGATCTCCTTAAGAGCCAGCCTCCAGTGCACCATGATGCAGGTTGTCTTCTGGCCTGCATGAGAGTCAAGTCAAATCGCCTGGATAAGACCAAAAACACCGTCTCATAATCTCTATACTCACTTGTTGGCACACCGTATCCATGTCAATCCAAGAAGGTCGCTGCTCGCCAAGGAGCTCAGCGAAAGAGGACACAAAGGAAGCGGAGGAAAGCAGCGGGCCGCTGGCATCAAAGGTTTCTCGGCACTGGCACATCACAGGCTCAAGTCGTCACATTGAGGCACATTATGGCTCATTTAGTCTCAGGCAGCTTTGGTGGGAGGGGAGTGCACAAGAGTCTCCGCGAACGACTACGCCTTCTGTGTCATTTCGTCGTATGTTGGGTGTGGGACTGGACTGACGTGTCGGCAAAATGCCAAGTCCAAAGAATCGAGGGATTCGACTGGTGTGCAGGCCCTCTAGGATGCAATTCCAATCCCACCGGCCCAGTATTCTGGCTGGCTCAAGCCAATAATCATGACAGGAGGCCCCAGAACCTCCAGCAAACATCTGGAGTTTCTAGACTCCTAGACGTGTGTGTCTCATCCAGTGTTCAAGAGCCAAACGGCCCCGCGAGCGCACCAGTCAGTCCCCAACACCACACACGGTCCACATCTCACCTCAGTGACCGAGGCACCGACCTTTGCTGACCTTGACAGGGAACAGCTGGGAACGACCGACTTGGCACGTAGGCCCCACCGTGATTCAGCACCATCAATCAGCATTCAGCTCGCTTTTGAAGCTAAGGCCCCTGCGACCGCATCATGCCCGCCTCAGACAGGCAAGGCTCTCACTTGCTCACGTGCGCATCGACTTACGCATCGCACCTCTCACTTACGCATCGATTTGAAGCTCACTCACGCAGGACCGCACAAGTCTCCAGTCACAACAATGTCCGAAGCCGCAGCCCAGCCATTACCCAAAACGCACAAGAGCGCATCGGCATGTTGTACGACTGCAGCTGCAACTCCCACCTTTCTTGCATCGGCCTTTCTTTGCCAGGACTGCGACTACGTGACTACATCTCGCGAAACCGAGAGCGCCTCGTTGTCCAATCAACACTGGGAGTACGATATTCTTGACTCGCTTCAGGATGATAAACATCACCAAATTGAATGGCATCCATCTTCGCCATGACCAAACTCAGAACGTTTGGAGCAAGACCCATGGCCACACTTCCCGCCAAAGCCACCGGAGAGGCCACGCAGCACCGCACAAAGGCTCGCCGAAGTGCTGCCTGCCGTGTTGACAAGGCAACCACTCCACACCCACCTTGCGCCAGCCAGACGCCAGCCGCTGCACCAGTCGCCAGCCCAACGGCTCCGAAGCAAATTCCTGCCCAGAACGCAGGGACGACCAGCAATGTGAACACGGAGAAGGAGACCAAGGGGAATGCCAATGTGAATGTGCTCTCAGAGGGGTTCAAACTGGTCATGGCGCCACACACAGCTCCGGTCGCGTTGGCCCCCAAGCAAATCCAGAGATTGGAGGCGGTCCGCAAGCCCACGCCAAGGCCAAAGCCTGCAGTTCGGGCCACTGTTGTCCAAGGGGCGCGGGTAATGGCTGATGTCTGGACGATGGAGTTGAACAAGCCCATTCGCTGAGGGGTGGTACTTGCCACCACGGCTGCAACAGCGCCACCAGCTGCGAAGCCACAGATGCTGGGAGCTTCAGTGGAGAGGTTCCCACTTGGGAGGTGCACCACTTCATCCACCACGGAGTGGAAGAGAACTCCGCCGACAGCTCCGCCAGCTGCCACAGCAACTGCGAGATGCTGAGCCTGCTTGGCCTTCTGCAGGCTGGTGCTGAGTCTCCGCACTCGGAGAACGTCATGGCGCAGCAATTTGAAGCCCACGGCTGTCAGGCCACCCATGACATGGCTCAAAGGCTTTCAAGAAACATGCACGAGACGATGTGTCGAACCTTGGCCCATCATTCGTCACAGACTCAGGGCCTGCTTTCATGGCCATGTGAGATACTGGTTGCTAGTTGCTACTGGGTTATATATTTAAAAGATCGTGAGCATCAAAAAGACTTTGGGCTGCGTCATTCACCAGACTCAGACTCAACCGCACTGATTCTGCGATTGCGGCAAGGCCTGCTTGCACGGCACAAGTAGAGACTCTGCAGTCTGAGGTCAATGCTTTCTACAGCAATGAAGTGCCTAAAAGGAGCAAAAATAATTGAGCCAAACTGGCCAACATATATATATATATATATATATTTGATAAATGACTCAAGTGCATGTCATTTCAGACGATTCCCACTTGAACAGCTTAGCTAGCTTAGCTACAAATGCGGTTGCCCCCAATCGGAAAAACTGACAGAGTTTGGTGCAAGCATGGCACACTCCGCCGCTTTTGTCGTCAGTTCGCGCCTACAAAAAAAGGATGGAGGCATCGGATCCTGTACATTCCAATTCCTATATGTACTAAGCACATGTTTGCCCCACCCTTCTTGTAGGTCTGGGTCTTCAAGCAGAATCGCCTTGAAACCACAGCCGCTCGAACGGCCACTTAGCCGTCGTTTTCGGCCCGTTTCAATGCGGCATGGTGGTCGTCTTGCGTGAGCCACTCAACAAACTCATCGATGTCGATCTTGTAGTTGTGATTTTTGTCCGTTGCTTTGATGATTGCATCAATCTCCCCGTCTCTGATGCCAACCTTCTTCAATATCTCTACAAAACGGCCAATTGAGATGGCGTCATCCATGTCTTTCGCTTGATGGAACATGGCTCGCAATTTTCCGCCATCAATTGGATCTCGACCTGCAGTAGTCTTGAGACCCATGCGGATGCAATAGTCTGAAAACTCCTTGAAGAGAATGCAGCCGCCTTGGTCTTCATCAATCTCATTGAATAAGGAATACCCTGGCATGGGTGTCGCACCACATCGGTCTTCCATCATCTCGGGAGTCACCTGGATTCCCACCTTCTCGGCTTTGCCCGAGGCAACGAACTCGGCAAACTCCTTGCAGTCGATGCGACGGTCTTCGTCAGCATCGGCCATGTCTTGAAAGATCAGGTACATTTCAAAGAACTCATGGAGGTATTGGATCAATCTCCGAAATTGCTCCCCCGGCTTCACATAGTCTCGAGAATGCTCACGGAAGGCCGTGTTGTCATTTCGACATGCAGGCCGTCCCGTGGCGGCTAAGAAGGCCCGAATGATGGCAGGCTTAGCGTTGAAGAGGGCCACACAACCCATCACTTCGGGAAGCGCCTTGTCGATCTCTGCAAGGCTCAGCTTTCCATTGTGATTCACATCAATGAGTTTGAAGAGCTCCTCTCCTAGGCAAGCCAGGCACACAAACAGAAAGTCTTATACTTGGCCTCATTGGGACAACCGAGTTCCAAGAAAGAAAAAAAATGAAAAGAGAGCCAAACCACCACCCAGTCTCTCTCAGCCTCCTCTTCCGGTGTCTTTTGAAACTTCAACTTTCCCTGCATTGCATCGACCTCTGAGCGACCGAGCGCCACCCAGCGAGCGGCGCCCGTGGCACCGGTGTTTTCCGGATTCTCAGTGGCCTTCCAGGCACCGGTGTCCTTGTGCACGGTGTTGCGACAATTGATCCTCTTCACCCATAAGGCAATGTACTTGCCATGCTCGTTCTTCTCAACAGCACGAACCTTCACAAGAGCTGGATTACGAACGCCAAAAGAGGTGATCAAGCACTTCATTCCATTGTATTGCTCTCGCTTGCCGCTGAGGCCGGCCAGGTGTACCCAACTCACACCCACATGAAACTTACCTTCATCTAGCTGATGGTCCAGCTGCAAGGCCTCATCCTCCTCATCGGGCGGGCGACACATTGCCTCGCCCTCTCCACCCTCCCAGCCCGCTTCGGCATCTTCTTCATCGCCTTCCACCTCTTCCAGGTCATCCTCTGCCTCCATGACCTCCCTCATTGCTTCATCTGGCTCCTCCGCCATGGCGCTCCGAGCCTGCGACAAAAACACGGGTTCTCGCGCACAGGTCGTTTCCCACGGGGAAGCTCCGGCGCGGAATGGTCTTGGGAACTGCCAGCGATAAAATTTCGGAGACCTGCCACACATCAAGTTGCCATGACTGAACTGCAGGCGGGCCAACGCAGATTCAGCTTCCGTTTGATCTCCTTTTCGCTGGGTTTTCCACATGTTGGCACGTTTGGGAGCTCAGCATTGTTACCAACCAACAAGTTGACGGTAGCATGCACAAGTGGCACCATACTTGAATACAAAAAGGGGACGGAGAAGTCTGTGAGCTGGCCCAGGCAAAGGGCGAGCAAAAGGCCGGTTTGCTCCTCTGCGGTTTTCAGCTCTAATAAGAGAAACAATAGGACAGCATGCTTGAAGGACCGATGCCTGTGGAGAGGCCGGCTGGGAGACAAAAGGACCGCTTGTAGGCTGGGAGACAAGGTAGCGGAAGAAAGCAGCCACGAACTGGCAGGGAGGCAGGTACACCCGCAAACAGGCTGGCAAACAAAAAATAGCCAAACAAAAGCCCGCGTTATCATTCATTGGTTCCTTGCATCGTAATCCTCCCCAAAAAAACTATTGAAAACTGATGCAGTGTCACGCGTACGGCTAGTGTGGTGCTTTCTCCGTCACACGTCAGAATCGCTCCCTGACTCAATGAGTCACTTCTTTCTCAACGGCATGCTCTGTGTTAAAGCGGCCGTCATGCTGGAAATGGCGGGTGACACAGCAGAAGCTCGGGATGAAGAGGGCCCGGCACCAGTTGTGCAAAGGTCCCCATCTGTGGAAGCTCTCCTGAGAGCAATCTTGAGTTGAAGCAAAGGCAACGAACCACGAGGATGATACCTGCCTGAGCATCCTCAGTACGGAGCACGAGGGTGGCTGAAATCCGTCACACCAAGAAAACACAAACATATAACATATAACATATAAATTATCATCACATGTGTACATCACTACTGTTAAGAGTACTTCCCAGACTTCGCTCTGCGTACTCTCTCCCCCCTTTTTCGCTGACACTCTCTGCAGTTATGGTCTCTGCACGTCGCCCTGACGTTGTTGCGTTGGAAACTCACAAGGTGTGAGCAGTGTTCATAGCCACACATCCATTCCTGGATGAAGCTTAGGTACCCATCTATGGAGACTCGTCCACCCAGACGTATCCATAGCGATGTATCTACCCAA